TATGAAGTACCAAACTCTTATAAGTGGAGTTATGACCTGAAGAAAGAGACAGCTGGGGAGAAATTTTCGATGCCTATGTCTATGAGACTATGACTCAATTCTTGGAAAAGAAGAGGAGGAAAAACCTAATGACTGGTATGCAAAGATCAACGCAGCAGTTGTGGTAGCCCATGAGATAGGGGAAGGTTCAGGCTCAAAGAATGAAGAAGAAAGTGAGAAGAAAGAGGAAGAGATATTATTCATTTTTGAAGAATACGATGGGATCTACCAAGAGGTTGGGAAGAAAATGAAAAGATAACAGTTAAAGAAATATTATTGCAAGAATTCAAGGAAAAAGTATAAGCTAAAGCGAGGTCACCTCTTTGTGGATGGCAAGGGAGGACTGCCTCCATTAAGAGTGGTCTGTGGGAAAGAAAGACAACTAGAAATAATTGTTGCTCTATATGAGGGGGTTGCTGGTGGCCATAGGGCTGCAGAAGCGACCTACTCTAAGATAGTTACGCTTTACCTCTGGCCTGGCATGAGATATATGATTTACAGGTTTTGTAAATCATATGTATTGTGTCAGAAGAGGTCTACTGCAAGGACAATTGAGCCCTTATTCTATACTATCTTGGTAAAACCAGGCAGGAGAGTTCATTTGAATCTCATCACCATGCCTCCAGCCAAGGGAGGGATGATGTACATATTGAACATTAAGGATAATATTTCTGGCTATGTTGAGGCAAAGGCTCTGAGGAGGAAGACAGTCGAGCAAGTGGATGACTGCATAGAGGAAGTCTATCTCAGATATCCCTTCATCTGAGAGTTTGTCTGAAACAGAGGGTTTGAATTCATAAATGAGATTCTAAGAAGAACGACTCTCAGACTGGGCGTCAGAATTCGATATGTAACTACTACTCAAGCGAATGCGCCGGTCGAGATACATCACAGGACTTTAAAAGACTCATTGGCTAAGTGGTGCGAAGGGAACCTCAGTAACTGGTCGAAGGTATTGAGAGCTGCAGTTTACGTTGACAATATTATTGTCAAGAGAACCATCGATTATGCTCCATTCACTCTGTGGTATGGTCGATATGCTACTTTGCCTATTGAATGTATAATCAGGACATGGTTAAGTCAAGAGAGTGGAAGAGAATATTATATCTTAGAACTTCTTCAGATCAGAATGAAACATATATCTGAGGTTGACCAGGCAGGTAATGAATGCCGCAGAGAGAATGACAACCATCAGATTGTCGGATCATTAGAGATGAAATAAAAAGAGGTACATAAGGAAAGAGAAACTGAAGGTTGGTGACGTTGTTCTTCTATTCGACAGTTCTCTTGAGACACAGTGGACTAAACGATTGGAGTCCAGATGGCTTGGTCCCTATAGAATTACAGGTGAAGCAGAAGACAAAGTCTATAAGATTCAAAGACGGATGGTTCAAGAGTCCACGACATGGTATCACGGTCAAGACTCCGTAAGTTTATCTTAAGAGACCCTGACCTAAACCCCACGATGACTGGAAGAAAGGAAAGAAAAGACAATCATCCAGTAAGAAGAAAGTTTCAGAAAATTGAGAGTAAACACAGTGAGACATCAAGACACAAAAAAGGGTTCAAGTTTGACAGACATTGATTATTCCTGCAAGATCAGTTCAGTGAGTTAATTTTCAGTATGTCAGATTTTCGCATCATATTACATCACAAATATGAGTGAGAAAGTCAAGTCAAACACACTGAAGCCAGTGATTGGACAACAAGTCACACTCCTTGTCGTAGCGCTAGCGAAACAAACAAACTATTACCAAGTAACTCGTGCTCACTTATCTGAGCAACTTGACTCCTGGATCGTTCACACGTGCAGTAGATAGCATTATATCAAATCACAAATATGCGTGAGAAAGTCAAGTCAAACACATTGAAGCGAGTGACTGGACAGCGAGTCACACTCCTCGTCATAGCGCTAGCGAAACAAATAAATTATTATCAAGTAACGTGTGCTCACTTATCCCAGCCACTTGACTCCAGGATTGTTCACACGTGCAGTAGATAGCATCATATCACATCACAAATATGAGTGAGAAAATCAAGTCAAGCACACTGAAGCGAGTAACTGAACAACAAGTTACACTCCTCGTCGTAGCACTAGCGAAACAAACAAACTGTTACCAAGTAACCCGTGCTCACTTATCCTAGCCACTTGACTTCGGGATCCTTCACACGTGAAGTAGATAGCATCATATCACATCACAAATATGCGTGAGAAAGTCAAGTCAAACACACTAAAGCGAGTGACTGAACAACAAGTCACACTCCTCGTCGTAGCACTAGCGAAACAAACTAACTGTTACCAAGTAACTCGTGCTCACTTATCCCAGCCACTTAACTCCGGGATTGTTCACACGTGCAGTAGATAGCATCATATCACATCACAATTATGCGTGAGAAATTCAAGTCAAACACACTGAAGCGAGTGACTGAACAACAAGTCACACTCCTCGTCGTAGCGCTAGTGAAAGAAACAAAATGTTACGAAGTAACTCGCGCTCAGTTATCCCAGCAATTTGACTCTGGGATCGTTCACACGTGGAGTAGATAGCATCATATCACATCACAAATATGCGTGAGAAAGTCAAGTTAAACACACTGAAGCGAGTGACTGGACAGCAAGTCACACTCCTCGTCGTAGCGCTAGTGAAAGAAACAAAATGTCACGAAGTAACTCGCACTCACTTATCCCAGCCATTTGACTCTGGGATCGTTCACACGTGCAGTAGATAGCATCATATCACATCACAAATATGCGTGAGAAAGTCAAGTCAAACACACTGAAGCGAGTGACTGGACAGCAAGTCACACTCCTCGTCGTAGCGCTAGCTAAACAAACAAACTATTACCAAGTAACTCGTGCTCACTTCGGATCGTTCACACGTGCAGTAGATAGCATCATATCACATCACAAATATGTGTGAGAAAGTCAAGTCAAACACACTGAAGCGAGTGACTGGACAACAAGTCACACTCCTCGTCGCAACGCTAGCGAAACAAACAAACTGTAACCAAGTAACTCGTGCTCACTTATCCCAGCCACTTGACTCCGGGATCGTTCACTTAAGCCAGTGTCGTCGTTAGTTTCGAAACAGTCGGAAGGTTGAAATGACTACCGGTCGGAATCCTTGACAATAGAAAATTAAGTCCCTTGGCAACCACCCTCCCAGTACGAACCATAGGTTCGCTATAGGTAGGGCAGATAGGGCGATACCTAGTCATGTCCTTATGTTTCGGAATGACATAGGTTTTGCCTACAGATCTGAAGTTATCCCAACGCTCAAACTTCTGTAACCCAACAACCTTCATGTCCTCCCTGACTTCCCGAAGTGCAACAAATTCTAGACCATGAACAATCATGTAACCGGGATTCCGGACAAAAGTATTCATCATTGCCTCATAATAGATCTGAGGGCACATCACAACAGTCTCCCCGGGTTCCGATCTAAGGGAGTCAGAACCAACCCCTCAAACTGATGTTTCAATCTCACGATATCACTAATATGCAAGCGAGAGCCTCCTACCTCACAGGGTGAGGTCATACAAGATGACAAGATCTCCAACGGTATGCGAGGTAGGCTCCCTCGGAGGTTCCTCAGGTTCCCAAAGCCAAGTTCAACTTCATAACGTAATGACGACAGTCGGTCAGCCCTATGGGCAAGCAGAATCTTATTCGCATTGGTTAACATGTGATGGTCGACGAACTCCTTCTTCAAACCGAAGTGCTCGTGCCCATCCACACGCGGATAGGGTAGTCATGTGCAATGACAGCTCAACACCTTACAAGTATTGTATTCCCTGTAGTTGTGCAACAACTCGCCCACTGTCTCATTTTTCGTCCAGACGATCCGAGTCTTCCTTTGGGTCCTTCGTAGGAAGCAGAGGGGTAAGTCACATTTCATCAAAATGTCGTTAACTACTTTACGTAAAGCACAAACGCTAATCCTATCATCAAATATGACTTTGATCAATAAGGCAGCGCTCAAACTGAGACCAAATTTGTTGAGAAAAATGCGAGAAACCAGCCTGCGAAGATACTTCCTCGTTGACTTCTTAGAGAAGTCCTTAATCGCATTATACAATCAAAGCAAAGATCGCATATCCCACTTCCCGATTCTATCCGTGACACGCACATTCTTCAAGAGAGATAACAACAGGCCTTTCAAAAAGCGACACTTGGGCTTCCATGATACAATATACTCAATCCTCAACATTCCCCCACACTCGAACCATGTCTTACAGTCTTTAAGTAGACGAGATTAGGAATCACGCACCACCTTGGTAGAGCCAAACTTCCTAACTATGCTCTTCCATGGTGACTGCCACGTATTCCCCCCACTCACACAAATATCAACACCATGAGTACCGGCTGCCTCCTGCTCCTTCAATGGTTCAAATAGATCCAGATGCTAATCAATTGACCCAGTCAAACGGAAACGAATAGGTGTTACCCGCTGGACGTCATGGGTGGACTTTCCAAGACGACTACGTTCCTTTCTACCGTGGGCCCTACCCTTATTATTACGACAGTGACTCTTCCGCACCCCAGACGTATTCAGGAACGGCGACCATTGACGGATATACACACCCTCCAATTTCCTCAACTCATCATTGATAATTGTGTCCACGGGAACCAAAACATAGTTCTCAGTGCCAAAGCACCCTAACCAACGATAGAAGTGATTCGGGGAACGATTCTTAGGCGCATAGATATGCTCACGCCAGCGGACATCCAAATGTCTAAATGTCTTCCCAACGTACTGCGACTTGCAGTAGGGCGAAACCGCTACGTACACACTTGACTTAATGTTAACGAAATCAGGTCCAAAATTATCTAAAAGTCAAACCCAAACATCAACACATTTGCGCGTCCAACGGATTTCTCCATAAAGTGAGAGATTTACAACCAGAAGCCTTAATAGTTCCTCAATTTGAGCATCGACAACATCTAGTAAAGAACGCAGGTTCGTAAGGCAGCGAATGATACACCACAAGTCAGCAATACTAAAAATACATCAAGCATTTTCATGGACTTCCTCAGCCTCGGCGGGTACCTCGGTGCACACCACTGGTGTCTCGGTCATATCTTCGTCATCGTCTGTGCCGTACGCCACGTGTGTACGATGTGCTGCAATATCAAATATGGCTTCAAACTTACCATTATATGGTATGCCCTCATCCTTGCAGATATTCTGCAGGACAAGAGCATCCAAGTTCTTGAGGTCACTCAACACTCGTTTCTCAAACTTCAGTCTTCGGACAATCCGGATGGCCGTGGGAATGTTTTTACGAATGGATGGCGGGGTCTTTCTTGGTATGATGGTCTTCTGTGTACGCGCTTTGGACCTCGTCAACCTCCCTGAGATCCCGACCGGTCGCGGCCCCCGTTTCGGCGTGCACTTAGGTGGCACCTCCATTGGGGGGCTGCCTTCAAACACTACCTCCGGTCCACGCTTTCTCTTCTCAGATATACTCAATCTCCGAGTCAGCAGGTTCAACTCCTCCGCCTCTCTACTGCTAGCGCTGCTCCCCTCCGCTGACACCGCAGGGTCCACTTTCTTCTGCTTGCCGCGAGATACCGCCAAGCACAATTCTCATATCGCCTCACGAATCTCCTGTCGGACGTCCTCACGTACGTCGTCCCGTAATTCACCAACCCGTACAACCATCCTGACATCCAAACTCTTGTGCAGTTCTTCCTTGACCTCGGTTTCCGTACGAGCTTTCTCCTCCTTCTTCTGCTTGCTAAGTAAGGTCGCCGCTCGTTCTGTCTCAACCCGTTCCTCAGCTTCTTTCCTCTCAGCTTTCCTGCGCTCCTTAGCCGCCTTCTTCTGCTGCTCCAATTCTACGAATTGGCACACTGCAGTGACACTCTTCCCCATCTCAGCTACCTTCGATTCCAACGGGTCTGACTGTTGCCGCCTGCTAAGGCTTGGTCTACTCAGAGAACTGGAGCCCCCCCGGTTAGTCGACGTCGACGGGTGCCCGTTCCGTCTCAGATGTGGGCACTGATTGGCAGAGTGGCCAGGTTCGTCGCAATTGAAGCAAATCAAAGGACATCTCTGAAGGCCCCGATCGAAGCACCACTCACCTCCAACCCTACGATCTCCATCATGTCCCATGTCTCCACTGTCCCCTCGATCGCTCCCATATCTGCGGTATCCTCCTCTTTCATAATCACGATGCCCTCTGTACTCGCGTCCACCTCCACCGAGATTGCGGCCACCACCGACTAAATCACGGTTATCGTCGTGGCCCGCCATCACACGGGAGTCAGACCACAAAGGTCCGTCTTGTTAATGATGTGCAGGCGATGTCGGCGTAGCAACGGAGCGTAACAACAATGTCACGTGGTAACCCTCGTAAGCAGAGCAACACATCGAATGGAGGCACACTCCTTGTCGTAGCGCTAGCGAAACAAACAAACTGTTACCAAATAACTCGTGCTCACTTATCCAAGCCACTTGACTCCGGGATTGTTCACACGTGCAGTAGATAGCATCATATCACATCATAAATATGCGTGAGAAAGTTAAGTCAAACACACTGAAGCGAGTGATTGGACAACAAGTGTGTAAGAACAACAAAACTCTCGAAAATTACGGCACCGTTATCATTCCGCAACCCCAAGATTCACCGGTCCATTGACGTTCCCAACGATCACTGTCGCAGGCGGCAGTGAGCATTCCTTAAGAGGTCAAGTCCATCGCACTCACACACTGTATAGTCTACATATGTATGGTAACGAGTCCAAAACATGCCACCCGATAGCGGGTCAGATACCGACCTGGTCTGGGTGTCCTAATCCACTACCTGGGTCCAAACCCACTACGACCCGAAAAATTCCTAGGCTCACCTTGTCACTCAGATGTTCATCTTACGATCGGAGGGCCCACGCCACCCTGGCAGGGCCTGGAAACAAACCCAATCGAAGATACCACAAAAAGGTATACGAGCTTATACACACAAAAATATTAAAAAAATAGCACTTCAGACTCCAAGTGGATACTCAGTCCAAGATATGACGATCCACGATGGAAATGATTAGCAACCCTGTCCAAATATGTCAGATTTTGACACGAGAGACTTGAGAAAAATCTTCCAGATGATTTACGTTCGTCTGTGCATCTGAATTAATTTTCCTCCAGAGACAATGAGATCAAAGTTATTGATGCAGAGTCAGAGTCGATCCATAAGTACTTTACTTCTGAGCAGGGAACAACTTTACAATGAAAAGGGTGATGAGAGATCATCCTTCAAAATATTAATGCAGTATCCAGTTAAGAGAGTTCATGGCTGCGGCACATCAAGAAGTAATCAGTATTGATCCCTTATAATTAAGAGAGTCTAACAGACTCAAGAGTGTTCAACTCTATCTTATCAGAGAATTGTCAGCAGAGAAACTTCTTGCTGGCTAAGTTGATTGTCCGAGAGAGCTATCAAGAAGGTCGACATAAAGAGGTTCAACCCTGTTGACCAAGAGAGTTGTAAACTGGAAACTTCGTGTTTTTGGCTAAGTTGCCTACCTTCAGTTCTAGATGAGGGAAGAGACCTCTCTGCAACCAGCATCTATATGCTTCCTTGAGGCTGACGAGAGGTCTCTTGGAAGTACTCTCAGATGAGGGAAGGAACCTCTCTGGATCAACGCTCTGTATTCCCTAAGGATGAAGGGGGGTCTCAAGGGAATACATTGCTGGCTGCTGCTTATTGTTGTTCAGTGCCTCTTAAGACTGAAAAGATGTCCCTTGAGAAATGTTTGTCCTGTTGCTTGGGGCATGTATTGTCTGATTGGGTATGAGATGTCTGCTTGGTTGTCTGTGCCTGGGGTTTTCTCTTCTCTAACTTACAGATGCATTGATTGTCGGGGCTAGCAAGAGCCTTACCGTAGTAGGTTGCAATCTGGTGGGGTCAGCAGGTCCCCGACGCGAGTGTCAAATTCTGTAGTTGACTGAGGCTAAGACTTCGGGGGTCTGGCCAGTGAGGTCAAGAGGGGTCGGCTGGAACCCTACCGCAGTCAGAGAATGCAATCCAGTATGAGGTTCGCCAGAGCCAGGAACCGTGGTTAGACCGAGAGAAGGTTAACAACAATCGTATTTTTCATCACCACTTCATGACACCCTTCACCACTTCAGGATGCAACTTGCCTAAACAGGTGGTTTTCAGGGTCTTCAGACCTTTCACCACTTCAGGATCATTTAGGTCTGAAAATCATGAATGGTCCTGAAGTGGTGAAAGCTCCGAAGACCCTAAAAACCACCTGTTTAGGCAGGCTTCATCCTCAAGTGGTGAAGGGTGGTTTTCATGGTCTTCGGACCTTTCACCACTTCAGAACCATTCAGGATTCTCATACTGCCAAAAACTCTCATTTGACCACTTCAGGACACCCTTCACCACTTCAGGATGCAGCCTGCCTAAACAACTGGTTTTCAGGGTCTTCGGACCTTTCACCACTTCAGTATCATTCATGATTTTCAGACTGCTCAAAACTTTCACTTCAGAATTTTCATTCCTGAATTTTCAGTTACCCGATAACCGCTTGCGGAGGCAAGTCAAAGGGGTCGTCAAGACAAATGGTCTGACTGGTCCTGGCCTGAGGCAGACCGAATAGGGTATGTCAGTCTGTCAGACTGATGGGAGGTCTCTCATTCCTGGCCAGTGGTGGGCCGAAACCAAGGCAATCAACAACTCTTAGGTGTGAAGAAGTTGTCTTGTTGAGTCAATTGATTTATTATTTTATCATTTTATTATTTATTATTTTATTTTTTTGGTTTTATTTGATTTTGCTTGTTGTTTGGTTGTCAATCGTCAGGGAGCTTCTTTGCTGGGGACACAGCATGTTGTCCTACAGACTCGTTTGTTTTGCAGATATATAACGATTTACTTGAAGTTCCCAGACCAGAGGAAATAAAAGGGGTTTGGTATCCCCTCCCCTTTTATCTGAGAAGTTGAGGAGACGCCTCACTCAGATGAGGGAAAAATAACAGGTTTTGGTATCTCCTGAAGCCAGAAGACAGGAAAAGGGTTGGTATGCCCTATCCTCAGCATGGATGATAAAACGAGTTTCACGAGTACAAAGACCGAAGTGACAATATCCTCGACTTTGCTGTCAAGATGAAGGGTGAGGTAATTCTTCGGCTGTAAAAATTCAGACGGAAAACAAATTTCAGAACGACAAGAGGTCAAAACCAGCAGAAAATCAGAAAAAAATATATAATCCTTCTCAAATTTATTTGGTGGCCGACAAGCGGCCTGGTTCACAAGGAGCCTGCATCCCCAACCTTAAGGTATTCAAACTCCTAACCCAGAGACGCTATAGGGTATGGAAATAACTGAGAAGTTAAGGAGAAAGAAAATTCAAAGATTCAAAGAGAAGGCCTCGTGCTTATATGAGAGATAGAAGATGACCATGAACTCAACCTGAAGTAAGACGAGGAGAAAAAAAATGCAAGAGAGGGTACAGTTATTAGTGTGAGGAGAGGGAGAGATTGCACATGGGATAAAGGATATTGAAACAGGTACTAAGGCTCTACTTATTGTGGGAGAGGTACAGGCTCTAGGAGTGTATAGAGGGGAAGAAGTGTTGGGCGCGCCGTAGCGCACCTCGAATTTCTTATGGAAGAACTCCATCATGTTCAAGGATGCAGTTCTTTCATACCACGCCGCAAACGAGTGGCGGGGATAAGGCCTTGAGTGTGAGCCATAGCCTCTTGACTCGTCCTCTTCCTCCTCTGAACTATACTCACGCCGTGTGCGAGCCGACGGCTCTTCGCACGCCTTCCCTCCTCTACCACCTCTTCCTCTACCCTGTCCCCTACGTGCTTTAGGCATGGTGGAAGAAAAATCGAAAGGGTAAGAGATGCACTGCGATAGGAAAGAAAAGTGGGGCAGCACTGTAAGAGAAATGAGAAATACACCGTTAAAGATGAAAGGAGAAGGGCTAGGGGTTGCGCAAGAAAAAAAGTTCTACAAAAAGAGGAAGAGCGCTAGCATAGGTCTGCTTCGAGAGACTTCGCCGTGATGCGCGGTGAAAATGAATGACAAACACCAATAGTTACCTTCCTTTTATACTAGTGCGCTGCTTATTTTGACCCAGCGGGGACGTTGGGTAGGGGTTTGGTATGTCCCGACCGTCCTTTGTGTCCCAAGTTCCTGCTCAGTACCAGTCCCTTGTCCCGATGTCCACGACTCGTTGGACTGTTGTCGAACCTCCGTGGCTCTGCTGGTATACTTGAGTTGTGCCCTGACGTGGACTGGTCCTGTTGGTGCTTGTTCTTGCAAAAGGAAAAGGGGTGCGACACTGAACTTTCCTTTGGTCCACACAGGCTCGGCGCCCTGCTGTACAGCAGAGCACAACCGGCCTGCGGCCGTGGTAGCCGTAAGGTTCGCCTATGGATGCGAAGGTAGAGGGACCGGCGCGGTCTTTTCTACTGCGCGCCGAGTGCCCCTTAGTCAGGTTATTGGTTGGGTGTTCGGAGCGGTGGTCGCTATCAGAGAAAAAGAGGCTGAGCAAAGAAAATAAGAAAAAAAAATAAAACGTGAAAAGAAAAGTGAAAAAGAAAGTTGGAGGTCTCCTTTAGTTTCGGGAAATTTGACGACCTTTAGTTACTTTGTCTTTAAGTTTTTGGTCTTTTCATTATTATTATTATTATTATTATTTAATTTTTCTTTCGCACGATTCGTTAGACTCGGTTTTCTTTTCGGCCTGTCATGTCAAGGTGCAAACGGGTCAACTTTGATCCGCGAACGTCGTCTGATGGTTCAGACTGGCCCGAGTCTTCGCTTGTTTCCCTGTGCCAGATCTGTCCGAATGAGCTCCGCGCGGCAGGACCCCAAAAGAGGGGCGATCCACAATCGCATCGGTACGAGGTTTATCACCCCCATGGAAGGTCAAAAGCCCCCCCCTTACCATCGGACACGGGCACCCGAAGGTAGTAGACCAGTTGTTGGCTTTGAAGAGGGAAGAGTGGCTATTGGGATCCCGTTATGGGACTGCTTTCGGCCAACAGTCCTATTGTGAAGGTCTAGGTTCGACTATAGCTATGTGACGACCATTGGGTTTTGGCCTCGCTCGTCCTCTGGATCTCTGAATTCAAACTGCTCTGAAAATTTTAAACCTTAGAAAATTTTAATGTGAAGGAATTATGACGAAGTCTAACTCAAACTCTCATATGGAACATAGGGTGAGAGGAAAGTAGTGAGCTGCTATCCTATAAAGGGAGAGAAAAAGGGAAGTCGAGGGCTATCACTTCTTCAACTGAGTACCAACTGCACCCTCTGCTCGCCGCTAGTCGCTTCTGTAGCGCTCAGTGGGCACTGTGAGCAT